ATTACGACGCAATCCCAAAACACTATATTGATTACCTCAAGACTTTATCTATATTTGCAGAGCAGGCCTTGACGTTCGAATTTAGTATTTCTTTTCAATAATTACTCAACAACGCAGTGAACCACATTCCTTTTTTACTTGAACCAAGATTTTTAAGTTCTAACGCACATTACAAAGCTAGAAAATTTTAGAAGAAGAAAAAAACACTTTCATGAGATATAATACAGATCTATCAACAAATGGAACATAGCTGGGTGCATACAATTGCGAATATAAATACGTCAACAACAGTTCACAGAACAAATGGGACCGAGGTCAAAGAGATCAGATTGTAAACGTTTTTGTAAAGAAAAAAGCGATTAAGTTTAACAGTCCATGCTAATGTTAGTTAAGAATAATATCAAGTTATATCGGTAGAACAGTATGATGAAAAAATCGTGTGATGACACGTGTAAAGATAGAACAACAAGCTTATTTACTAGATTTTGGCCGACCGAGTTTCTTTCCGGATGGTGTTCTAGATGGAGTTGCACTACCGGTTTCTGATAATGACAAAAACTTAGTAAAATCTAGGGCTGAGTAATAATTGTTTTCCTACCTGAAGGGGCATTAGCCTTATCTTTTGCATCTTTTTTAGTGCGATGTTTAACTTCGGTTTCACCCATTTCCTTTTCTATTAGCGTTATGAGAGTATTACATCGGCGTTGGAGTTCCTGTAAAAGATGAGAAAGTCAAACTAGGTAACCGATGCAAAGAACATCAAGACAAGAAAACTCATTTACATACCATCGCTGTCCTGCTCTTAATGAACCAGTCAAACCGGAACTGTGGAGCCATCCTTACAGACTGTCTGAGCTCTTCATAGACGGTCTCTTTGTCAAATCCAAGCCGATGAAGTTCACATACAAGGAATCTGAACATTACGCCATTTATGGATTATCGAAGCTACTATAATGAAACATGATTGGTCTAGTCCCATTTCTCATCTACTTCAATCTTTCACCCGCCTGTCTTCCTCCTCTGTATATGTTTTTCCTTTATTCGTTCCATAAGCAATACGCAGCTGGTGGAAAGGCGCTTTGTACTTAGCTATTTTAGCATCCAGGGCTCGTTTCACGGATTGTCGGCGTTGAATTCTAGCTTCACCCTAGATTCACAAAATTTTAGTGAAAAGAACACAAACTACGTTACCAAAAAAGTACAAAACAAACCTTTTCAATCTGACCTAAAATTTTCTCATGGTCTTGTAATTCCTCGAAACGCTCCCAAAATATTTTTGCATAGTACTCTACCTGTAATGATGCATT